GTATTGTTTCACCAGCGGTACTGTCCCTCTGAATGTAGTGATTTCTTCAATTAGAGTTGTTTTCAGTTCATAATGTGGGAGTTTGGTTAAGAATTGTTGGGTTTAGGAGGGTGCAGTGGAAGCTAAAAATTAAAAATTTAATCTTTTCATGGTCATTGAAGCTTAAATGACTGGTTGTAGGTGTTTTATTTTGGTAAATTTATGTTGGGATAAATTCACAATTGCTATAATAACACTTGTTGTGCTCTCACTTTCATAAAATGAATATATTCATTTCCCTTACCATGTGGGTAGTTTTGGGTGTTTTGGACAGGTTGTAGTTTAAAATGAATTATATGATTAATCATTCTTTAATGCTTTCTTTCCCTTCTTTTACTTACTTGTTGACTATTTGCTCGGTTTAAGTATAGTAAAGGAAGAATAAGAAGGTTTTGGAAAGCTTGAGTGGGTAGGTTTATTTTAGTTTTGTTTCCATTTCTCTTTGAATTCTTTTGTGGTTACCTGGGCATTTGCTAAGTATGTGTATGTTTATAGAAGATATAGTTGGTTTTCTTCTTGGTTGGTTAGTTACTATTAAGTGCATAATTTAATACTTATTCTACATGTTAGATGGAGTGGTTATGATAAAGTCTGCTCCCATTTAATTTGCATTTTTCAATAAATGAGACTTTTTGGAACATCCAGAGGAAAGAAATTTCATTAGAGAGGACAAGGGGTATTTCAATCCTGCACAACTGAGATGTTGGATCTGACACAATTTTTAGCAATAAGCATGACCGGTATGGCAAAAGTACAAAGAGAGATGAGAAAATGCTCCTTTTCTCTTTTCCTATGGACTAAGGAGCAAGGTAGAATGAGATGGTCCACTAAGTTGCATCATATTGCTTCTATCTCATTGAGTTAACATGTTTTCTTAAACTACAAGAGACCTACCTTCATTACAAAAAGGAACCTTTGGTGGAAATATTGGATTACAAAACAATTATCCAAGGTTACATTACTTAGCCTAAATAGGTGAATAAATGCCATCTGATACATTATTAGCTACTTGTCTGACCAATATCAAATTATTTCAGTTGATTATATATATAAATATTTTATTTCATGTCAATTGCATTCCATTCCATTATTAGGATTTTCCATGTCTGCTGCTCGCTTGGGATTGCCAGACACAGGATTTATTTCCTATGGGGAAATGCTGGACCAAGGCCAACAAATCACCCAAGCTGTGTCAATCCCTGTCATTGGGGACGGTGATAATGGATATGGCAATGCACTGAATGTTAAGAGGACTGTTAAAGGATATATAAGAGCAGGCTTTGCAGGGATAATCCTAGAAGATCAGGTTCGTATGCTAGAATTATTTTGATTCTGTAGATCAGGATCTTATGCTAGAAATATATTAGTTCTGTCAAATGTTTACACCCAAGCTGTGTCAATTTGCGAATTATTTTATTTCCTTATCTCTTTCATGGTTGTCGCTCATAGAGGTGTCATTGCTAGGTATCTCCAAAAGCTTGTGGTCATACACAGGGCCGTAAAGTGTTACCAAGAGAGGAAGCAGTGATGAAGATAAAAGCAGCTGTTGATGCTCGCAAAGAGAGTGGGTCTGACATTGTTATTGTGGCACGGACTGATTCTCGTCAAGCAGTGTCTTTGGATGAGAGTCTTTGGAGATCAAGGGCATTTGCTGATGCTGGAGCAGATGTTCTTTTTATTGATGCACTAGCCTCTAAAGAAGAGATGAAGGCTTTTTGTGAAGTTTCACCATTAGTTCCAAAACTGGTACAGTGTTTTAAACAACATAATATGGACTACTGAGCATATAATGGTATTTAATGGTATTTGAAGGATATGGCTTTAAAAATTATAAAAAAAAATTAAAGGGAAACGAAAAGATTGTTAAGGATGAGATTGTATATGAATAAATTCTTCAAAAACTTTCCCCAATGGTTATATAACTAGTTTAAGGGATTTTGGTCCAAAACAAATTTCAACAACTATGTCAATGCCTTATTCTTGATCCAGTTCATTTCATCTCCATTCTCAAACTCAATCAAATCTCTTAAGCTTTCCAACCTCTCTTAAATTTCTGATCTCCCACATTAAATCATGCAGGGTTTATTGCTCAAGCTCTTGATCTTTTTAGTTTCCTGTTTCTGCTTTCAGTTTGTGAATTGGGGAACTTAAGGCTCAAAGCTAGAATGAGGAAACCGCAATATTGATTGTACAATCCTTTTCCCTTCCATTTCTAACTTCTTCTTCTTCTTCTCCTTTTTTTAAGAAAAAAAAAAAAAAGGCTTAGGACCAGCTTGCCATACAGGTGGGCTGGTTGGCCAAACCAGGACCAGCCCGTTATCCATCTATAGGTACATACAACTATGAAAATGCTGAGGAATTAGTAGTAGATTGTGCTGGGCAAGTACAGGATACTGCATGGGAAACATGATGTTGAAAATGGCAAGGCTGTGCTAGTAGCTTTCTCTGTGTTAGTTAATGTCTGAAGATATGTACTTGGTGTTTGAATTAACATGTTAAGAGTCTATCAAATTTTATTTTTAACTTTTTCTATAATTTTTGTCTCTTTCAACTTGTGTTGTATCTGCTCTTTACCAAATAAAGCTCAGTCATTGAGCATAACTTTAGGACTTAACCACCATTGTGTAACATTTATCATCATATTAGAAAGTTAATTGCAGGGACTGATTAGGTCCTTATATTTCTTTGTAGGCCAATATGCTTGAAGGTGGGGGAAAAACACCAATACTCACTCCATTTGAACTTGAGGATATTGGATATAAACTTGTTGTTTATCCGCTTTCCTTGATGGGAGTATCTATCCGTGCAATGCAGGTCAGGGATCTTTTCTTCCTCCTCTCCATGTGCATGAAAACTTGGGTTAATCATCTTTGCATACATATCTAATTCAAAATTCTCCCTTTCTAATTTGCTTATCTATGTCTGACATGATGGATTGCGTTTGACTACATAAAGCAAAGAAAAACATGGAGTATTTTGGTAAAACTCAGTCTTTCACTCAATTAAAGTGGTAGTATAGTTATGTCAATTGAACAAATTATATTCCCCTTGCACCTGTTTTGTAATAGGAACTTTCGTAACACAGAAATGAATCCTTCCTAATTGTTGTCTTGAATATTCTGTGTTTATCATCTAATTAGCAGAGCATGCATGTGAGTGTAACTTTTATTACCTTATTTAACTCTTAAATTTTATCATGATTGTATTTCGTTCCAGTTTCATTTGTAATTGAAGTTGTCGTCAGGGGATTATTCGAGATTAATCCTGAAAAATTTAAGATGGTTCAATTCCAATCTTTTGTTCTAGCCGGCACTGACTTCTCATCTGTAGCATGTTTCTAAAGATAAAGGAGGGACCCAGAAAGAAGATGGATATTTCTTATAGGTCTTTGAATGTAAAAGCTAATTTGGTCAGCTTGGCCGAAAACAGACAACTTTTCTGTGGAACTAACTTATTGCTCTATTGTCTGTAACATGTTAAAGTGTTACCCTGATGCAGTTTACCTGTTTGTATATGTTATTTCTAAAGGGCAGATCCATAACCCTGATCCTCTGCAGGATGCACTCACTGCCCTCAAGGGAGGTCGTCTCCCTCCTCCCGGAAGCATGCCATCTTTTGAGGAACTTAAGGAAATCTTAGGTTTCAACGCCTACTATGAAGAAGAAAAACGATACATTGCAAGAACAAATAGGCCGTTCTCCAGTAGAGGTAGTTGAGATTTACTCCTTTTAATTAAATTCAAGGAAAAGCTGTTTCTAATCAAGCCCCGAAATAAACAGAATTACTAAAATCTCACAGGCTATCTGTCATGGATCAAATCCTCTAGATTAAACATATCATTTGGTAATGCCTGGCTACCATCCCTCTTTAATGTCAGGTTTCATTAGTTGAATTAAATTATACCGCACACAATCAATTATAGACCACGAAAGGTTTAGAGGCTCTTAGGCAAAGCTTGAAAGCAAGTTTGCTTTTATGCAAAATTTTTTCTCAAAAAATTTTTTGGAGGGAGATTCAAAATTGGCTTCCAAATAGCTTTAAAGCAAGTTTTGAGGAATCCAGGTAGCAAGTTTTAAGCTGGTAAATTGCAAGGGGAAGCCAACAAATTTTCAAATTTGTGAGAGAAGAATGTGTTGCTTTTAAGCTCTACCAATTATTCTAAATCTTTGCTTTGCTTTGGTCAAAAAAAAAAAAAAACTTTGCTGGGAGAAATTTGTTTAAATATGTGCTTTGATAATTTTATCTTGACCCCATCCACCCCCCTCCCCTAAAAATAAAAAGATGAAAAAGTTGTAGAAGGAAAATAAAAAGAAAATGCGTTCTTTAATTTTTTGACTTTTGCTGCCTTCTTTAGTTCCATGAAATTAGTTTTACAATTTTGATATTATGGAATTTCATTTTTCTTTACCTTATTTTTTAAGATATGGGTTATATTATATGTCATAAAAAAAGTAAAAAAGAAAATAAGTGCTTTAATGTCTAGAAGTATGTGGCCTTCTTTGTTTCTATGAAACCTAATTTAACAGTTTTTCTCTAGTTTTGAGATTATGGAATTTTTTTTTGTTTCTTAACCTGAATTTTATAGATACGGGTTATATGTCAGTGAGCAGTAATACATACAGTATAGAACGGAGAACACAAGATCCCCAGGAGTCAAGAGCTCAAAGTCCTCAAGAGCCCATTGTTGAGGTGATAACTCCTGACGTTTACAATAGCTATGATGCAGATAGTTCAAGGGGGCCTTTTTCTGGGATCTGGTCTCGGACATTGAGAATTAAAATTACAGGAAGAGATGGATTTGAGAAGCTTGATGTTAGAATACCTGTAAGTTTTCCTGTTTGACCATGTGCTCCATATCAGCATTAATACCATGTGATTGTTGAAACAATGAAGTTTGCTAATACTTGTGTTCTGAGAGTTTTTAGTGGTTTTTTTTTCCTTTGGTTTTTTGGTACATTGGATGATGGGCTATAGCCCTCCTCTTCCCAAACCCCTCCCCACTCATCCAAGGATTTGAACTTGAGATCTCCAATTTGGAGGCTTCAGTTCTTAACCACTAGGGTGTCCCCTAGGGGACGAGAGTTATTAGTTTTTATCCTTGCTTTAAACCTTAATAAGTGGTGTGTTTGAGAATTCAAATATAAGATTTTCTTGGCAGAATAATATGTAATGCAGCTTGTTATGCATTTAGATATATAATGTATGAAATTATTTTGCATGACCTGTTCTAGTTGTTTAGGCTGGCTTCAAATTTTTGGTTGATTCTTTTTTGGGTAATGAAATCTATATTACAATTTTCATTTTTAATATTGCATATATTACTTTTATTATTATTATTATTATGAAAGCATACCACACTTCTCAGTTGATGAATATGTTTCAGTGGCAGTGCTTCCTGAGTTCTATGTTGTCCCTTTTCTCCCAAGGTGGAGTGACAGTCTCTTATGTATGGTCAACCGGCTATGGCCTTCCTCAAAAGCTCAAAATTTTTCTTGGTGTTGCAGCAATTTTTTTTTTTTTAAGAGGCAATACTGGCCAACAGATTTTTCCCATTTTCTATATTTAAATAATAGTCCAAAATCTTATATCCTTATTTTCCTTGCCTAAGTAAAACACACTTGTACACTAAACCAGTTGCTTTCACCTGATTGCAATGCCTTTGTTTCTTAGGTTGAATTTGAGGATAAAACCTTGTTTGTGATGATTATTCAAATACTCATGCATATTTCATTGTCTTTGTTTTCCTTTCTCAGCAACATTTCATGCAA